AGGTGAGTAATGATACCGCAGTATTTGTCTCTAACGTTTATGAGGTGAGTAATGATACCGCAGTATTTGTCTCTAACGTTTATGAGTGAGTAATGATACCGCAGTATTTGTCTCTAACGTACATGAAGTGAGTAAAGCAACTGATGTTTCCAATAATTCTCTTCAGTTTCAGGCCTAAAAATTAACCTTAATAAATCTGTTTTGTTCCCAGTGAATGACTGCACACTGACAGAAATTAACAGTATTCCTGTTAAGAGAAATGTAGATACTTTATCAGAATCAGAATGCCTTTATTTTCATTATACGCAGTACAATGAAATTAAGAGCCACTCCTTTTTCCAGTGCAAAAACACGCCTTAAGAAAACACACATTAAACACACAGTAAAAATATAAAAAAAAATGTAACGCAATATAGATATAATAATGAAAGTAAAAAAATACAAGTATTACACAATTGTATTGCACATCATGGATATTAGTGAGGTAGTTAAGGTGATTGAGGGTATGAAATGTCAGTAGTATTGCACAGTAGAAGTCCAGGTGTTTGGGAGGTTAGATGATTAAATCAGTGCATGTGTGAGTTCAGGGTGGTGATGGCTTTCAGGAAAAAACTGTTCTTGAATCTGTTTGTTCTTGTTCTGATGCACCTGTAGCGCTTCCTTGAAGGTAACAAGTCAAACAGTGCAAAACCCGGGTGTGAACAGTCCATGATTATGTTTTCTGCTCTGTTGAGGCAGCGTGATGTGTAAACATCCATCAGGGAGGGGAGAGGGCAGCCAGTTATCTTTTGTGCTCTCTTGACTACTCTCTGAAGCCTCTCCCTGTCAGCCAGGGTGCAGCTGCCGTACCATACTGAGATACAGTATGTCAGCAGGCTCTCGATGGACGAGAGGTAGAAGGTCAGCAGCAGTTTTGTGTTCATGTTGTGCTTCTTAAGGACTCTTAAGAAGTGTAGTCTCTGCTGAGCCTTCTTGATGACCGCTGTGGTGTTCTCTTTCCAGTTTAGGTCAGCAGAGATATGGACACCAAGAAATCTAAAAGTATGAACCCTCTCCACGCACTCGCCGTTGATGTAAAGGGGGGCTAGGTTGGTGCTGTGCTTCCTGAAATCAATAATCACCTCCTTGGTTTTTTTGATATTCAGAGCCAGATTTTTCTCTGAGCACCAGGTTGCTAGCTCCAGAACCTCCTGTCTGTAAAATGTCTCATCTCCCCTAAGAGTGGTTCTTGATAAAAATCTAAATGTACGTAGCAGTTCAAACTTTGGCCTCATTATAGAACAAATAAAAAATTTAACATGTGGTTAATGAGAGAGCTGTCATTAAATGGAAGGGTGTTACTGTCAAAAGCTGAGGGATTCTCAAGATCTGTGTTTACTTCCTTATCTTTAGAAATGCCAAAGGATGTTTGCAAAAAGTTATATTAAACATTATTTGACTTTATATGGAAACATAAATGTCATTACTTAAAAAAGATATTCTCTGTAATAACAAAACATCTGGTGGATTAGATGTCCTAACTTTTGAAATGCTAAATAAGTCCTTTCAAAATTAAATGGTTAACCAACTTATTAAAAGGGAATGATACTCTGGAACCCTTTCTCCAACCACATTTTTAATCTGGTAGGTGGACTCCAGTTCTTATTAAAATGTGATTACAGGTCCATCTAAAAAAATTAGCATATTGTGATAAAGGTCATTATTTTCCATAATGTAATGATAAAAATGAAACTTTCATATATTTCAGATTCATTGCACACCAACTGAAATATTTCAGGTCTTTAATTGTTTTAATACTGATGATTATGGCATACAGCTCATGAAAACCCAAAATGCCTGTCCCAAAAAATTAGCATATCATGAAAAGGTTCTCTAAACAAGCTATTAACCTAACCATCTGAATCAATGACGTAACTCTAAACACCTGCAAAAGATTCCTGAGGCTTTTAAAAACTCCCAGCCTTGTTCATTACTCAAAACCACAATCATGGGGAAGACTGCCGACCTGACTGCTCTCCAGAAGGCCATCATTGACACCCTCAAGCAAGAGGGTAAGACACAGAAAGAAATTGCTGAACGAATAGGCTGTTCCCAGAGTGCTGTATCAAGGCACCTCAGTGGGAAGTCTGTGGGAAGGGAAAAGTGTGGCAGAAAACGCTGCACAACGAGAAGAGGTGACCGGACCCTGAGGAGGATTGTGGAGAAGGGCCGATTCCAGACCTTGGGGGACCTGCGGAAGCAGTGGACTGAGTCTGGAGTAGAAACATCCAGAGCCACCGTGCACAGGCGTGTGCAGGAAATGGGCTACAGGTGCCGCATTCCCCAGGTCAAGCCACTCTTGAACAAGAGACTGCGTCAGGACCTGGGCTACAGAGAAGCAGCACTGGACTGTTGCTCAGTGGTCCAAAGCACTTTTTTTGGATGAAAGCAAATTTTGCATGTCATTCGAAAATCTATGTGCCAGAGTCTGGAGGAAGACTGGGGAGAAGGAAATGCCAAAATGCCAGAAGTCCAGTGTGAAGCACCCACAGTCAGTGATGGTCTGGGGTGTCATGTCAGCTGCTGGTGTTGGTCCACTGTGTTTTATTAAGGGCAGGGTCAATGCAGCTAGCCATCAGGAGATTTTGGAGCACTTCATGCTTCCATCTGCTGAAAAGCTTTATGGAGATGAAGATTTCATTTTTCAGCACGACCTGGCACCTGCTCACAGTGCCAAAACCACTGGTAAATGGTTTACTGACCATGGTATTACTGTGCTCAATTGGCCTGCCAACTCACCTGACCTGAACCCCATAGAGAACCTGTGGGATATTGTGAAGAGAAAGTTGAGAGACACAAGACCCAACACTCTGGATGAGCTTAAGGCCGCTATCGAAGCATCCTGGGCCTCCATAACACCTCAGCAGTGCCACAGGCTGATTGCCTCCATGCCACGCCGCATTGAAGCAGTCATTCATGCAAAAGGATTCCCGACCAAGTATTGAGTGCATAACTGAACATGATTATTTGAAGGTTGGTGTTTTTTGTATTAAAAACACTTGTCTTTCATTGGTGGGATGAAATATGCTAATTTTTTGGGACAGGCATTTTGGGTTTTCATGAGCTGTATGCCATAATCATCAGTATTAAAACAATTAAAGACCTGAAATATTTCAGTTGGTGTGCAATGAATCTGAAATATATGAAAGTTTCATTTTTATCATTACATTATGGAAAATAATGACCTTTATCACAATATGCTAATTTTTTGAGAAGGACCTGTATAACATTGAAAAGTTACCTATAAAGTTATCAAAATGTCACCAACACGCTCTCTTGGCTTGGAAACTTGCACACAAACACAACTTCTCCAACTACGTGTTACATCTGGAACAATGGGAACATTCTGTATAAGAATAAGTCACTTGACTATAAAAACTGGATGGATGATGGAACCATGCTGGTCCAACAGCTGTTAAATGATAATGGAACCATTCTGTCATCCACTGGATTTCTGATTTATGACACCTGTAACACCTAAAGAGCATGCTGTAGTTTGTGATGCTTTACCAAACTCCATGATGCAACTCTTCAAAGGAACAAACCTGATCATTCATCCAGAGACCAACTTAGAAGACCCATCATGCAAAAACATGTTCCAACAAACTTATAAGATCATGTCTGCAGAACATTACCTCCTTGTAGATCGTTTTGGGCCTCTACTTTTGGAGAAATTAAGTGGAAACAAGTTTGGTTGAATGGAGAAAAATGTTGCACAACAAATAAAGTTAAAGAGGTTTCATATCAAATCAGTCATAATGTATACCCTGTTAAAAACACTGGAAAGATTTAAACTTGATATTGACTACTCCTGTACATTTTGTGAACTACACATGGAAACAATCTCTCATTTATTCTATCAGTGTAATCACACAAAGAAGTTCTGGACAGATGTACAACAACTCATACAACAGAAAACTGGACAAATAATTCAACTTACAGAGAAAGACATTATATTACGCTTCGACAATAAGGACATGGACAAAGACCTGATCTACTTCACCCAACTTCTACTTCTCCTGGGAAAATTCCACATTCTCAAGAAAAAGTGGTCAAACTCCAAGTCAAGCATGACCCACTTCAGCAGAACTTTACATACACAGCAGCGCTGTTAAAGGACTGGAAAACACAAAGGCAATGAAAACCAACTCAGTTGTAGAAAAACTTCATTTATCTGTATAACATGTAAATATATTGTTTTGTATCTTTAGATTTTTTACCCTTTGTACCATTTTATAACCAAATTGTTCTTTTGTACCTGCTAATATACCTCTGGCAGACGGTTGTAAAAATGATAAAGTTTTGAAAAAAACAACAACAACAACAAAAAAATATCCTGATGCTGCTCAATAATCCAGGTAGAAAAATCTAAAAAAGTTAAATCTGGTCCTCTGGACATTCAAAAAAAAAAAAAAAACCCTTTCCACCCGGACATGACGTCACGTTTAAAGCGTGGCGGTGAAAGGGTAATTTTTCTCCCAAGCGTTGACTGTCAGGTGCCGGTTTTTCTTTTTTCTTTACAAGACCATTGTCATACGGACAAAGTAGACCCTTTGAGCCTCTCTGTTACTTTGTGTCACCTTCATAGTTTAACTTTTGTGTCCTAAAACACAATTGTTTCAAAGTGTTTCGTTAATGTTGCCTTGAAAACCAATGAGATGACGCAGGGTTTGCCTGACAGAACCATTCCGGGGCTGAACACACGCGCGCCGGCTCGAGCTGTAGGAAGGAGCGTGTTGTCTTTACGCTGCATTTAGGAGCTAAAATATCAGAGTGCTGTGAGGGGTTTGATTAGTAACAAGCTGGAGGACACACAGAACATTCAGATGAATTCTGCAGCTAAGAAGGGCCCAGGAGGAAGACGCAGTAACCCCCCAGGCAGCACCAGGACTCTGGCTCTGACTGTGTGCTCTGCTGCCATTGGAGGCACCTTCCAGTACGGTTACAACATCTCCATCATCAATGCTCCCACCAGCTACATCCAGAGCTTCATCAATCACACATACGTGGATCGCTGGGGCAGCGGTCTGGATACCTCTCAGCTGACTCTGCTGTGGACTGTGATCGTGTCAGCTTTCTCACTGGGGGGGTTGCTGGGGGCTCTGTTAGCAGGGCCCATGGCGGTCCATTTTGGTAGGAAGAAGTCCCTGCTCTTGAACAACTCCTTCCTCTTCTTGAGTGCTGTTCTGGTGCTGACGTGCAAGCTGGCAAAAGCATTTGAGATGATCATCGTGTCTCGTTTCCTGGTGGGAATAAACGCAGGGGTCAGCATGAATGTACAGCCCATGTACTTTGGAGAAAGTGCTCCCAAACATCTCAGAGGGGCGGTGGCGTTTTCCTCTGCGGTCTTCACGGCATTTGGGATCTTCTTTGGTCAAGTTGTGGGACTCACTGAGCTTCTTGGAACAGCACCTCTTTGGCCCTATTTACTGGCTAGCAATGCTTTGCCAGGACTGATCCAGCTAATGACGCTACCCTGGTTCCCCGAAAGCCCCAGGTATCTTCTCATTGACCAGGGGGACAGAGAAGCGTGTATCCAGGCTCTAAAACGACTTCGTGGAGGAGAGGTTCCTTCCTTGGAGATGGAGGAGATGCTTCAGGAGCAGCAGCAAATGTCTGCTGCTATAAAATGTGGTTCTGTAGCACCTGCCAAGACACCTTGGTCTTTGTTCAAGGATGTGGACCTACAGTACCAGCTCAGGACGGTCATGATTGCCAGTAGCGGCATGATGCTCTGCGGCAATGACTCCTTCTACTTCTATGCCTCCTACATATTTCAGGAAGCAGGGATCCCACAGGAGAAAATCCAGTACATCACCATTGGAACAGGAGCATCGGAGCTAACTGCATCTATCCTCAGTAACCTTCTTATTGAGCGTGTGGGCCGCAGGTACCTTCTCATTGGAGGGTATAGTCTTATGGTATGTTGGACTATAGTGTTCACTGTATCTCTGATCCTTCAGAGCCATGGGGTCGCAGGGATGCCGTATCTCAGCATGGCATGTGTATTTGCTTACATCCTTAGCTTTGGCCTTGGGCCTGCAGGGGTAACGGGGATTCTACCAGCTGAGATCTTTGACCAGGCGGCTCGGCCAGCAGCGTACATGATCGCTGGCTCACTTATGTGGTTCAGCCTGCTTTTGGTGGGAATGTTGTTTCCATTCATTGTAAAGGGCCTCGGAAACTACTGCTTCCTACCTTTTATGGCTGTTTGTTTGGTCTGTGCTGTGGTTTTAGGTCTAATCTTACCAGAGACAAAAGGCAAGACTTTGGCTCAGATTACGTCAGAGTTTGACAGAAAAAATAAAGGGACACGTAAACGGTTTGACACACAAGTCCATGAACCTGAGCAGTACCAGCAAGGTCAAGCGTGTTCCTTTGCTACTATGCCACGTAATCCTGACCCAGTCCCCATGAATGTAAACTAAAATTAGATGTCAAGACAATCTGCAAATGAGAAGGTCAGTACAGTCTTTATGCACTTTCAGTTTTCTAAATATGAATTTCGTGCAATGTGAAAATTAAAGTTTTTTAACCATAATTTTTGGACATTAACCTTCTGCCTTACCCTTACCAGACACCTTAAAAGATGTCTTTAAATATAGTCACTGTAAACCCAGCATTTAGCTCTTATTAAATGCGTACATGCCCTGAAATGACCCTCCTAAGGCTCCTTAAAGAAAGCCCAGCTCCCAGTGAGCCCAGTCAAGCTTTAGCAGCTGTAAAATGTTGACCCATACTATTGTACAAGTGTGCTTAGTTTAACCACAGCTCTGCTACCAGTGGAGCAGTTCTACCAGCAAGTGACTTCACTTAAACAAATAATTTACATTTATAGAATGTAGTCTTTTCCCTCAATATTCCAGAAACATTTAGGACTTGCATAAAATGCATTTTAGTATTTAGATAAATGAGTTTTTGTTTAGACTTTCAAACTAACACAACAGTCAAACAAATGTATGTACCATTTAGGATAAATAGATTTCACCTTGAAAATAGTAATATAATAATGTAAAATATTTCTTTAGAATAATGACTATTGACAATTTTATTTAGCCGATACGTGCCATCCCTCAGTACGCTGCTTTAGAGTCTGTTCTTGTAAGAGCAATGACCCTTGGTGTAATGGGTGTGTTTCGGAGGCTGTGGTAGCTTGGTGGTTAGTGCCATGATCCTGTAATCTTCAGGTTGACAGGCAAGTTATGCACAAGTTCACATGTTGCATGTAAGTTACTCACAGGCTGACATACATCACTGGCCAACTGGGCAATTGTATATGCGTATTTAATTTCTAACCTCTGAGCACCTTAACTTATGCAGAGCTTATGCACAATGCTAGTGTAACTATGCTGGACCTATGCCTGGCATGTTGCAGTATGTGATGATCACATAACATGAGATATAAAAGGAGCAGCTCTTCCTCCCAATTCATTAATTTAGTATTGATCAGCATGCCTTGGAAGAAATTAAACAAATCTGTGATGGAGAAAGCTGCAGCAGGATCTTCCATGCCTGTGATGATAGTTTTGGACCTCTGCACCTCATGGAAACAGCAGGAGGGATGATTTGCTCATCATTTGGACCCTATATTCAACCAATACCCTGACAAATATGCTAGCTGTAAGTTATAAACACGTTTAGTAAGTTTTAACTCATCAGTTATAAATGCTAATATACTGTAATGCCCTTCAGGATGCAAATAACATGAGGTAGAGCAGACAGAGTTTTTATTATAACAGCAAAGAAATGGAGAACACGAGCTGCTGTGAGAGCCGTAACTCACGCTGGACCTTTTGTTAACAGAAGTATTTACCCCTGGTGTTCACAGCTCTGTGCTCCTCCTCTGTCTCTCCATACACGCCTCACTTAGGTTACTCGTACACTTCAAAATTGTCCAGCTGGCTTGTAACGTATGTCAATTTATGAGTAACTTTCATGTAACGTGTGTGACTTTGTGCGTAACTTATCTGTACCTGCAGCTTATGCCTAACCTCAGCAACACATTGGCATACTCTGACAGAATGAACGTCCATTTGGGCGATGGATCGCTGCCTGGCTGTGCAGTCCCATCTGAAGCTTAACTGAACTTTTTACCTCCTTCAAGGATGGTCATCTCTCGGTGAAATGGCCGCATGTGGCTGGCGGAAGTATGGCAGGCCATGTTATCATATAATTGGATCATGGCTCATCCTGACCTAATTAAAAACTGGCCAGGCCCACCCATTAATCACATTATAATTGCTCGGCCTTAATCCGGGTCTGGTTTCGGGTTCATTCATTCATTCAACCTTTATTTAGACAGATAAATGACATTGAGCCTCGAAGACTCATTTACAAGTGAGACCGGTTTAGACAGACAAAAAGTAGTGAAATTGGACATGTAGGAATTGGAGGCAAAAAAAATCCTATTAAACTTTTTCTTCTTGGCTGAGAAGAAAAACTAATATAAAAAAAAACCACACCTCACACATACAAGCACATAGTGACGTAGACATTACGCTGGGGGGGGGGGGGTGACGAGAGCTGTGAGCAATGTTCAAGGATGCACTCCGTAAACCGTAAACATTCTTGAGTGATGTTGGGAAATGGCCAAAGACAACGCTCTTACGGGGATCCAAGAGTCCTGAAATGATGGCACAAAGTTTATTCAGCTGGTTTTATCTGGTTATCAGTTGGAAATTCCTCGATTGGGGGGGGGGGGGGGAGCGTCAGATTACATGTTCTCCAGGCAAATTCGGATAAGAAGGCTTTCAAGGCCAGCCGGGGGAGCCAAATTCAGATAAACACACAGTTGTTTTTGGGGACAGGCAGAACTTAATGACATCTACATTGAGTCTGTGTTGGTCCACTTGGGTTCCGAAATGTCCAAATTACATGGCCACATCAAAAGAACGTGCCTGAGTAAATTCCCGAGATCTGATCCATTCTGCCAAAAGCATTTAAGTCTGGGTACTTGAGGCACAAACCAAGCCATCATAAAGCAAGCAGCATGATCGGGTCCAAATTTGCTGCTGACGTCTTCCTTGATTGTTGATAAAAACCAGCAACCAGCCGAATCCAAAAAGCAGGAACCAGTTATTGTAAATCAAATTTATAAATGCGTACTTAAAATCCATAAATGGCAGAAGAGATGGACACATCATCAAGTCTTCAAGTCGATGAGATATCCAGCTGCGTGCGTGCCAACAGAGCAAATCGGCTCGCCTAAAGCCCGTCTTCTCTTTGAAGAAATGTTGTAAATTGTGTTGAGGGACCAACTGATCAAATCAAGTCCATAATTATGGTTCAGAAGATGCAAGAGAGGCTCAGAAGCAGTTTCACAGACAGACAGAGCAGCAAAGCAAAGCGGAGAGGGAGGGGAAAAATCATCCGACCTCGGCAAGAGCAAGTGGTGAAATTTGGGTTAGAAATGACAGCTCTAGTATGGGGGGGTGCAGCTAAGCGTGAAGGAAGCTGAGCTTTTTAGCTAGCGTGGGCAGGGGGATCGGTTCGGTTGACAGGGCGGTGCACCCTGCTTGTTTAATGGTAGAGGGAACACTGCGTTAATCATAAGCCCTGCATAAGTCAATAACTGGGTGTGTTCCAGGGGCACATTATGGATAAGTTACTCATAGGATATATATTTGTTTAACTTGTTAGCATTACCATATGTATACATTCACAAACGACTCTTGGACTAAATTAAAATATGTCGTCGCAAGTTGTCTAAAATATGCAACAAGGCTTTAAGTAAGGATGTCACATAGCAGCTAGCAAGAAAGCTACTTGAATTCTCGTGTCATTAGCAAGGACTGTGCTTTGGTTGGCCATTCCAGTGTATTTTCTATTCCACTGAATCAAAGAACAATTTGTAATACCAAATGAATGAAAGTGTTGATTGTAGCCCAGCTGTTCTCAGTAACAGCCGCAGTAAAACTTTGTGTGATCATAAGATCATCAAAGACAATCTGCTTTAAACCTAACCATCCGACTGCACTGTGAAAGTTTTACCAGTAAGGCACGTGTTTGCAATAGAGCCCATAATCCCACCGCATGCGTAAAACATTGATCCAGTCTAATGAAACACATCTGTACTGCAGAGATAACAGTGCACGCTTGTTGTGTAATCTGTGTTTGTGCCGCTCAGTGACAGATGCTCATCATGTTCCTATGAAATGAAGCAAAACATCTACTCTGTGGAAATGTTGGTTTTTTCTCACAAGCTTGACAGCATTTACTGTTTATTTGTTACATATCACTTTTTATTAGCACATTAGTTTATATCATGTACGTACCATAAAAAGCATGGTTGTGTGCCCAGTGCGCAGTCTTCTAAAAGGTCAGTAGATGTCGTCAGCGCACTTCATTCTGTTTTCTCAGCAGAAACAAGAACCCAGACGATCATCTCTGTTGTTTAATCAGCCTGTCTCATTTTATGAACACGTTGGTCTATTTATTCAGAAGGATGCCTCACAGCATGTAGCACGCTAGTTGCACTAAATCATTGAGTGGACTGTTGATACTGTGAGGCACAGACTTTCCAAAGAAGTTCATGTCTTGTGTGAAATGGAAAAAAAAATGCTGTATTATTTTTATAGTATTGATTATTTAAATATTTTCTGTCTTTATTCTTTAAAAATATTTGTTGACAACTAAAGCTGCATGTACAAAGAAATAAAAAGTGTGCTGCTATATAATAATAATAATAATGTCATCACAATGTCAGCACTGTATGTTTCCATACAATGGCGAAATTAGTCTCTGCATTTAACCCATCCACCACCAGGTGGTGCAGTGGGCAGCTATATGATGTGTTCATGTTCCAGTTTGTCTCAGAAACTTTTTGTTAGCATCCATCCATCCATCCATCCATCCATCCATCCATCCATCCATCCATCCATCCATCATCCATCCATCCATCCATCCATCATCCATCCATCCA